GAGGGAGACCCCACAGCACGGTCCCCACGGGCACCAGGGGGCACTTCCCAGTGGGGCAGTTCCCAGTGGGTTCCCTGCCCCTCCCCTTTCACCACAGCCCTTCTCCCCCTCACAGAAGAGGAGCTTCGTCCTCACTGACCGGGATTTACAGCCTTGGCCCAGGCGTAAGGTTCCAGCGAGGATGGGGCACCCACTGCTTCCAGACAGACAGGCCGAGGGAAGAACCAGGAGACCACATCCCCCCCTGGGGGGCTCCCTCCACCTCTGTTACTTTAGATGGGGATACCCACCCCCAGACAGTTGCCATGGAAACGTGCTGTAATGTATTCATTTCAGTTGTGGGGAGGGGAAGCCAGCTTTTTTCCTAAAATTAGTGAAGTCTGGCCCTAGCCGGTTTGACTCAGTGGATACAGTGGAAAGAGGGGTTCCAGGCTGGATTCAGATCAAGGGCACATACCTCAGTTGCAGGCTCATCCCCAGCCCTAGATGGGACTCAGGGGGGAGGCAACCAATCGATGTGTCTCCCTCACATCAATGTTTCTCTCTCTGTGTCTCTCCCCTCCCTTCCACTCTCTCTAAAAATCAATGGAAAAATATCCTCGAATGAGGATTAACAATAAATAAATGTAAATAAATGAATGAGCTTAGGTCTCCTTTGGCTGACTGGTTGGCAGTGATGCCTGCTCTGACTATTTAAATGACATGCAGGCATTTCCCATTAACTGCATGAGCTAACTGTGCAACTCCAAGGACATGAAGAAAATAGACACATATGTACCACCTACCAAAAATGCCGTCCTCTGAACTCTTTAGTATTTATAAACTTTTTAAATGTTTGATGTCAGCTAAGAATGTGTGAGGGGTTTGTGGTTTTTCAAATTATCTGAGACCAGGAGTCCACACACTATGGCACAGGAGCCCAAACAAGCCCACTGCTAGGTCTCATCACATAATTGAGGTGATACCCCCTCCCCTGGGCACTGACCTTTAGGCCACTTCACAACCGACATTCCCTTTTGCTAAGACCACGTTCCACTTGCTAAAACCATTATCTTTCCCCTCAGGACCAGCCTAGAGAATTCTCGCCCAGAAAAAGCCCGCCTGGAGTCCTTGAAAATCTCTGACTCCTGTGGGTGCTGGTGCCATTTTGGGGTTCAGCCCATCTGGTATCCCAGTGACCTAATAAATTCATAATATAAAAGGCTAATATGCTAAGTGTCCCCCCAACCGTCCAACCAGTCGCTATAATGCACACTGACCACAGGGGGCAGATGCTTAATGCAGGGACTACCATGAAGCGCACTGGCCATTTTCAAAGAAACAGCACCGCGGACATGCCGCTGATAAAGCAACACTTGGCTTCTCTCAAGTGGGACACAGGCCCCACAACCACCCCGGACCAGCAGCCCACCAAATGGCAGCCAACACTGCCGAGACCCCATGGCCCCATCACGCCAAATGCGGCCCCCAGCCCAGCCCAGCCCAGAAACAGTTGCTGTGGGCGCCTGGTAATGACGTCAAGTAGCAATGCCCAGCTCCCTCTCCCTAGCAACTAGCCTCCTTGGAGTTTCTTCTGCCCAGGAACACGACTTGCTTTATAGCCAGGTGCACACATTTTACACTGTAACCAAATGTCTGTGAAGCATTTTCCTGTGCCTCATCTCATGTGATCCTCACAGAAGTCCTGGAGTAGGTAGATAGGAGACTCGGTAGAATCCTATTCTCTTTTCATTAGCTGGAAAACAGAGATTTAGAAAGCTTAGAAACTTGACCTGACTAAAAAGTAGTAAGAAATGGTGGACCTTGAAAATGACTTTAGGTTTTCTCACTGCGCAGAATATAATCAAACACTGGTGAAGTTAAATACTTCACCCTTTGTTCTTTCTGCGTGATCTACAATAATAATCTGCTTCATGTTGATATTTATTGCTGTATTGCTAACAATTACCTGAAAGAGAAGTTGGGGTGCTTCATTGGGCTGGAAAAAGTTTAGCTACATCAGAAAGCAGGTCTATTTAAGCAAATATATATATATCTTGCTGGCACCAATCACACATGTGTGTTTCAATCTGTCATTGTCGATTGTGTATTTGGTTGACACTTCTATTATAAAAAAAGGGTGAATAGCGATATTAAAATATTTTTTCTAATTTCCTTTCAATGTGCATGAATTCATGCACCAGGCCTCTAGTAAACTCATAATTCTTTACCCCTTTTGGCCTCCTGTGTTCCTCCTTCAGTGATTCTAACACCCACCACTGTTTTCATAAAAAACTTTTTTAGGAATGGCCTTACCTGTTCCATTAGGGATGGTCCACGACTGCATTTCTGCTACAAAGCTGCGCAGTTGAGTGCAGAGACAGGGACCACATGGGCCAGAGCCTGAAAGGTTTAATCCCTGGCCCTTCACAGAAAACATCTGTCTGGCGTGACCTGGCTCTTCCTCCTCCTGGCTCCCACTTTTCCTCCTCCCTCGGCCTACAGTCCTTATCACCCTATACCCTGGTCATCTCCAGCTCATTTTCCAGCTTCAATTTAATCAAAACAATTAACTCAGATTCAGCTTGGGCATCACCTCTTCTGTGATGCCTCCTGGATCAGGCACCTGGGTTCAAATCCCACCTCTGCACGTGGCTGTCAGGTGCTAGAGACTCAATGCCTAGTGGTGGAATGAGTTTGGGTGAGCTAGTAAAGCTCCGTGAGCCTCAGTTTCCCCATCTGTAAACCCTCCTCTGGAGCTATGGGAGGGGCCAGGGGTGACTGTCATGGCTGCGACATCACCCCCTACCTCACTGGTCTGCACAGCGACTGGCACTTCTCCCCACGCTCATCCCTACCCCGACTGTCACTCCCTCGAGGGCAAGGATTCTGTCCCTGCTATTTCATCTCGTTCCTGCCTCTGCCTCCACCCCGGCCACCCACATGGATGCCCAGCCACTGTCAGCGGAGGGAATGGTCTGGTTCTTGGGGACAGGGACACGGGCGGAGGACACACCTGGTCGCTACGGTGGACTCCGTAGCGCAGCTCATTCACGAAGTGCTCACAGTTGTCGCTGGTCAGCTTGTAGAGCATCTCCCGCCCCACCATCTCCTCCGCCCGACGCACAATTTTGCTGGGAGGCAGCGGGAGGTACTTCCGGTCATGCTTGTTATTGACACGGTACATGTCTTTCCCGGCCACTTTGGACAGCAGCTCCTTCTTCACTATGGCCCTCCCGGACCCTGCAG